CAAGGGATGAATTAGGCTTATTTGTAGAAGTAGAGTAGGGCACATACTTCCTGTTTTGAGAGGGCTGGACCATAATAACCTTAACATTATCTGGGATAGTAATGGGAGTGATCCCATTAGCCATTAACAAATCATTGAAAATATTAGAGCAGAGTTGAATGTCACCGCCTGCTATGTCCTTGGCCATCATATACATGTACATTAGTTGCGCTCTCGTCATATCCCCGGCTGAGGATACCTGAGACATGGGAGGTGAGGCTGAACCTTGTTGTTGTGTTTGTGTATGTTGTAGGTGAGGGTTAGATTGGGGCACTCCAAGAGGGGCAGAATTCCAAACATTGGAACCAGTGGAAGAGACCTGAGGAGTCCCACTAGATCCAGGCAAAGCTGGGAAGGAAGTTTGGGACATTGTTGGAGGTGCCTGGGGAGTGGTCTTCTTAGAATTGGATAGCTTCTTGGCTTCTAGAATTTTCTGCATTTCGTTTTTCCTCTCAGGACAGATAGCAGAAACAGCATGGTGTTTTCCATTGCAGAGGACACACTTGGGCTTAGTTTTGTTATGACAATCTTTAAAAGAATGTTGGCCAGAGCATATGCTGCAAATCAGTGCTTGGGTACTGCATTTGTTGGTGGTATGACCAAATGCGCAACATTTAAAACATTGTGTAACACTGACAAACCACTCAAGAGAGATTTGGTCAGGTGTACATCTGGTGCCAAAACATTTGAAACCATTTTGACACACTAGTTTGGCTGCTTCAGGTGTCTCAAGTATTAACTTTAATGTTACCTGGTTGTTGCCAGGTTTAGAGAATTTATATGCTTGGACAGCCTTAAATTCTGAATTCTCCCTGTTAAAGTCCTCAACAAGTTCATTCACTGTGCTCTCTCTCATGAATCTGTTAATTCTGGCCACAAACACAGTTTGCTGGGCTTGATAGCTTTCAGGTGCAATTGGGTTGATACCAAAAGTTTTCAGTTTGTCCAGAACGTCCTGCTTAAGCAGTTGAAATAACTCTTCTTCAGAAGAGAGGAGAAGTACTGCCCCAGCGTGGGTTTGAAAAACATCCACTGGAGCAACAGTTGAATTCGAACAAATACATTCTAGAATTTCTTTCTTCGACTTTTGATTGTCATCAACACGTAATCTTAGTCTTATCCATGCCATGATGTCCAGGAAGGTACATCTGGCACAGAAGTTGCTCTAACAAAAAGTTTTAAAAAATTTTAATGTTAATGCCTAGGGTTTATTACCTGGACCTCAGCAATGAGAGTCGCTACTCCCACTGCTGGGCAACAGCGACCAGTGCAAATTTTTTTATGTTAATTTTTTATGTTAATGTGTGCATATATATGCTTGTACATGTAAGTGTAGTGTGACCTAAGTTTAAGTAGAAGTAGCAAGATGTACCTGAAATCTTGCATGTTTATGAGACAAAAAAAAGGACACCAGTAATCCTACCATCATGTAAAACAATTACAGGCTTTTGTTTTACACTCGCTTGGCAGAACGGTAGTACCTCCCTGGGCAGCTGCTGTCTACCAACCTACTACCTAAAATATATATATATATTATTTCTTCTTTCAACAAACTGGCCCTATCCCACCGTGGCAGGGTGGCCCGAAAAGAAAAACAAAAGTTTCTCTTTTTAAATTTAGTAATTTATACAGGAGAAGGGGTTACTAGTCCCTTGCTCCCGGCATTTTAGTCGCCTCTTACAACACGCATGGCTTACAGAGGAAGAATTCTGTTCCACTTTCCCATGGAGGTAAGAGGAAATAAACAAGAACAAGAACTAGAAAGAAAATAGCAGAAAACCCAGAGGGGCGTGTGTATACATAAATATGTATATGTATGTGTAGTGAGACCTAGGTGTAAGTACAAGCAACAAGACACCCGAAATATTGCATGTTTATGAGACAGAAAAAAGACACCAGCAATCCTACTATCATGTAAAACAAATACAGAATTCCTTTTTACACTTATTTGGTAGGATGGTAGTACCTCCCCGAATGGTTGCTGTCTACCAACCTACACCTACCAACACTTGTGTACATTTTAAAACAAAACTGATTTAATATGAATGAATTTGAGAAAAAGAATGTTATCCATGAAGGCAAAACGAGTAAAGTATCAGAATACAGGAGGGCCCCACTTTACTAATGCAGCGGTTTTCAGTTATATCCATTCGTCATATATTCAGACTTCCTACAATTAATATAATCACTCACTATAAGCTAAGGATGAAAATATTTTAAGGTAGAGAATGTGTGTACTATGTGAGTGTTTTTTTTAAGCCTGGCTCTACTACTCACTTAATACAGTGGAACCTCTACTTACAAGTTTAATCCGTTCCATGACCTTGCTCGCAACTGGATTTGCTCATTTGCAGAGTCAATTTTCCTCATTTAAATTAACTGAAATGGAATTAATTTGTTCCAGTGGAATTCCAGGCACGAGAAAATACCTTAATAATTTCCCTAATATCAACTCTACAGCTTATTTATCTATCACAATTCATGTAATATGACATAATAAACAATGTTATTAACATAGAAACATGATATATACACTAGAATGAATAAAATACATGTCATTAGGTATGTGGCTAGTGGTGGTGACAGCAGCCATTGTTGTTGGGGTTTATACGGCCACCACGGCGGCCATTCCTGCTCCTGACCACATGTGTAGAGAACCTAGGATAACCCAAAAAAGTCAGAGTGACTTATAAGTGCTACACTCTTAATGCTTCACTTAATTGCTACACTCTTAATGCTACACTTTATTGCAACACTCTTAATGCTACACTTTGCCACTGCTGCTTCATGTTGTCTGCCACTGCTACCTCATGATGTCTGCCACTGCTGCTTCATGTTGTCTGCCACTGCTACCTCATGATGTCTGCCACTGCTGCTTCATGTTGTCTGCCACTGCTACCTCATGATGTCTGCCACTGCTGCTTCATATTGTCTGCCACTGCTGCTTCATGTTGTCTGCCACTGCTGCTTCATGTTGTCTGCCACTGCTACCTCATGATGTCTACCACTGATGTCGCCAAAGAATCAAACATTTCTGCTATTTTGAGCTCAATTTCAAGGTACTTTTCATCATGAAACCAATTAAAATCATATTTATTTTTGTAGTATATCTTCCATTCTATCACATGAGACCAAATAAATCGAGAATACATCCATAAAAACCATACGAAAATATACCGCTAAGGGGAGGCTAATGGCTGAGAAGCGAACTCCGTTATTTATGGTCCGATTTCTTTCATTTTTGGTGTACATTAAGAAGCATCTTTTCATCATACATTGCCCAAGTTTCAATAAGATAGTCCAACAAACAATCGAGATCCCATTCCCTAGATCAAGAGCAAGAGCCCCCTCACCAGTGTCAATTAACGTCCCTTGAGGCCCGTTCGCATCTGGAAATTTTGCTCACGTCTGGAAGCAAAAAATCGACCGAGCAGCTGCTCGTATCTGGAAAAACTCGCACGTGGATGCACTCATAAGTAGAGGTTCCACTGTATATGATAGTGTAAACATGTTATCAGGCTTTTATCTGAATTTGAAGGTAAAAAAAGGCTATGTTTCACTTTACAGAAATTTTCGCTTTACAGCTGTAGCCCTGAACCTAACCTGGTGTATATGCGGGGCCTGCCTGAATAGTTGTACTAATACTTTTATGTGGGCGTGAAGCATGAATTTTCTATGTTGCAGTGAGGAGGAGGCTGGAGGCAGTGGAGTTGTCGTGTCTGAGGGCAATGTGTGGCATAAATATTATGCAGGGAACTCAGAGTTTGGAGATTAGAAGGTGTAGGGTTGCTAAAGGTAATATACAGAGCTGGTTTCAACATTTAGATATGATGAAGCAGAACAGGATGACTAAGTGTATAAATCTGAAGTGGAGGGAAGGCAGGGTAGGGGTCGTCCTATGAAAGACTGGAGGAAGGGAGTAAAGGTTTTGTATGCAAGGAGCCTGGACATCGAACAGGTGTGTAAGCATGTTAGATAGGTGTGAGTGGAGGGAATTGATTTTATGATGTAACGTGTTGTCATAGTGGAAGCAAGATGACATTTATGAAGAGATTCAGGGAAACCAGTTAGCCACACACGAGTCCTGGAGGTGGGAAGTACAGTGCCTGCACTTAGGAGGGGTGGGGATATTGCAATTTAGAGGGGCATCTGAGCTGTAATACCAGTATGCCTTTGGAAAGATGGTGATAGAGCAAGTGACAGTGAAGGTGTTTCTTCCTTTTTGGGTCACCCTGTCTTGGAGGAAGACAGCTGGTTTGGGTAAGTAGGTAGGGGGATGGGTGCAAAAAAAAGATTACTGTCTTGCCATAAGTATTCTGATATCCTAGCTCAACTAACCCTTTAAAATGCAACATCCTCACCCTTCCTTTAGAGTGCGGGCACTGTGCTTCCCACAATAAGTTGTCAAGTCTGGCTTACTGATTTCCTTGAATCCCTTCATAAATTACCAAGCTCACACCCCAACTGCATGTCTCAAAATATAAAAAAAAAAAAAAACTTATCTCTACTCATGCTGCTCTGACACTCTTACACAAGCCTATTGGATGCTTAAGCCCCTAGCACTCAAACCTCCCTTACCCCCATCCTTCAACCCTTTCTGAGACAACCCCTGTCCATCCATTAATCCATCCCAGATTTATATGCCCTCTTAGTCATCCTATTCTGCTCTATTCTCTCTAAATGCCCTAACTACCTAAGCAATCCCTCCTCAGCAATCTCAATTATACTCTTGGTGACCTAACACCATCTTTTAATTACTACTCCAAGCCCTCTGCATAATATTTACACCACACCAAGCTATTATAATTTGTATTATCTACGTAACGCTTTTAGTATCAAGTTGTGTTACTTACAGTCTGAATTTCTTGAAATGCTGTTCATATTACAAGCTTTTCAAATTTTATGTTTATGAATATTTTTTAAATAAAATCTTGATTTTGAAATACCCTTTAAACACTTACGTCTGTATGCCAAACAAGCCAAATCCACTACAAAGGGAAATGACTGAGCATTGAGGAGAAGTGATAAGGCTTTGAGATCTTGTGCAACATCTAAAATACGGCTGAGTCTTGTCTGATCATTTTCCACCATCATGTACCACTCTGCCATCGCGTGCATTATGATTGGACGAACTGCACTTGATTGATTCTGCAACAAAATTTCCAAAGTTCCATTTTATTTCATGAACTAGAAATAAAAACTTACCAACTACAAAATCCTCTAAAAATAAAATGTATTTTTTACTATCCATATTTCATCAGTATCCCCATGAACATAGAAAATACAAATGGATCAGATTCAATACATTTCATTACAACAAGCATTTACCTAGACAGTGGACCCCTGGTTTTCGTAATTAATCTGTTCCAGAGAGTTTGGCTAAACCCGAATCTGATGAATTCCGAATTAATTTTCCCCATAAGAAATAATGGAAATCAAATTAATCCGTTTCAGACACCCAAAAGTATTATAAAAAAATTTCTATTTGAAATATACATTTACCTACCCAGAAAACAATGATACGTGAAGAATAAAACAATAGCAACATCACACTTACCTTTATTGAAGACATGGTATGTATGGAAGATGGGAGGAGGGCAGAGGATAGAATAGTTTACAAGTGTTTGGAAGGGGAATACCCTTCCATAAAGACTTCAGGTACCAAGTCCTTATCCTGGGTTACTTCCCTTCCTTGCTTTTTAATGCCACTAGGACCAGTTTGAGAGTCACTGAACCCCTGTCGCTTAAAAAAGTGTTCCAGAAAGGTCTGTTTCTGGCTTATGTTAGGAATTGTGTTGGGAGACAGGACATGATAGTCCTTCAATATAACACTAATATCAGCTCTACGACATATTTAACCCTTTGAGGGTCGACAGGCCCTCTCCGAAACTCGTTCTCAGGGTCGGCCAAATTTAAAAAAAAAAAAAAATTATTTTCTCTTATGAAATGATAGAGAATCTTTTCCCGATCATAAAGACACCAAAAGTTTGAAATTTGATAGAAAACTTACGGAATTATGCTCTCGCAAAGTTAGCGGTCTCGGCGATGTTTACGCATCGGCGATTTTGCCCACTTTGAGCCCCATTTTCGGCCAATTTCACTGTAGTAGTCGACAAAAAACATGAATATTTCGCTAGAACTCCATTTTTTCTATCGAATGGGTGCAAGAAACCACTCATTTATGAAATTCAACTATCCAGTATAGTAGTCAGAATTTAGCAATTTTGCCAATTTCACACAAATTTCAAAAGATGCCAATTTCCGAATAGGGTCCAGAATAAACAAGATAGACATTCCTGGCACTAAAATGACATTTCCTCTAGTCATTAGTCACGTCTCAAGGCCCCTCTTATATTCTTTTGCTTTCCACTTTGAATTTTTATTTTCACAAAAAATATAAGATTTACTGTTATGCAGACTACTGCATTAGTGTAAAAAATGGTATAAATATTATCGGTGCACTTGTGAAAGAATATTAGACTCACCAGTTGACGTGTATTGGACGCTTGGCACGATTTGTTTACTTTTGAAGTTTGGTAAAAATCGAACATTTCTGCTACTTTGAGCTCAATTTCAAGGCACCTTTCTTTGTAAAACCAGTCAAAATCATCTCAATTTCTGTAATATGTCTTCCATTCTATAAAATGAGACCAAGAAAACTAGAATACAACAATAAATACCATACGAAAATACACTGCAAAGTCGCTGATTTATTAAAAAAAAATGGTCAAAGTTTTTTTTTTCTCATTATGCACTGTGTGCTGCAGGATTTTTTTTATACTGTGCACACTGACCACATAGACCCATTCTTTCATATGAAGGCCTACCAGCTTTCTCCCACTAGATTTGAGGCCGCTAGAATTTATGAGTACTAGTACGTCAAAAACCCCTACGCGTAAGACGTACTAGTACGACGAAAACCCTCAAAGGGTTAAATAGCAAAATTCATCTAATATGACATAATAAACAATATTAATAACATAGAAACATGATATATACTCTAGAATGAATAAAATACTGCATTAAGTATGTCATGAGTGGTAGTGTTGTTTGTTGTTGGGTGTATAAGGGTCACTGAAAGATGAGCCTTACATAGTGGTGGTGAAGGCAGCAGCAGAGGCAGCAGTGTTAGTCAGTAGCCCTATACAGTACCTCCAACAACAATTAAGGGGTCAGTTTCATGCTGTCCTTTTTCTATCGATTAATTGCTTAACTTACCTGCTACACTGTTAATGCTACACTTTATCGCTGGCTGGTACTATAGCCTTTATCGACTCCTGCTGCTTTAATATCATACACATTGCAGAATCACTGAAAAAGGCACATTCTCCCCCCTCTCTCAGCCCTTTACCAAAGGCCTGGCTGGCACTAGGAACTTTCTTTGGGCCCAAGGTGGCTAGCAGTTGCAAGCACTAAAAACAATGGAATAATACAAAATATATCGTATGAACGCCTGGGATCGTCCTCACTGGCTGATAAACAATGGCACACTGGGTGTAAATGGTGTGTCGGAATGCTCGGGCTGCGCGGACACGTTCGGGACGAATGACTAATACCGAGTTCAATGACGATCACCGAGCCAATATCTTGACACAAAAAAAAAAAAACGTTACTTATTCCAAATATTACAAATTCCAATGATGACAAAATCCAGGGGTCCACTGTATAATGTACTGAGGCCTAAGACTTTTTCCACAGTAAAATAATTTTATTCACTAGGAAAGATCCACCACTTCATATGCTTTTACAAAAACGCGAGGGGATGGTTGGAAATTAAACATCCAAGTTAGTCACAGGGATATCAGGAAGCATATCTTTACCAATAAAGTGAAATTAAATTAGCTAAACTATGACAGTAAAAGCAGAATCTATACATGAGGTTCAGAAATAAGATAAAAAAAGGGCTGTTTGACACCATTTGATTAAAAGTTAAGATACTGGACCAAGAGCCAGAGTTCACTCCCAGTAAACCGAGATGGGTAATTACATATAGTCAGAGTGGCTAGTGAGTTTGTTCAAGACATTCATGAAACAAGGACATTAATTAAGGAATGGCAGAAAGCATGCATGTTTCCTTTATATAAAGAAAAAAGGGTACAAGAAGGATCAAATTTATCAGGAAATAAGTCTGTTAAGTGAATGAAGATCAGTGGTTATAAATAGACTTGCTGCTAGTGAGCAAGCAAGTAACTTTTATAAAGGAATTCAAGGAAACCAGTTAGCTGGACTTGAGTCCAGGAGGTGGGAAATACAGTGCCTGTATTCAAAAGGAAGGGTGTGGATGTTGCAGGCTGAAGGGCCATCTGTAATGTTAGAACAATTCTACAATGACAAATATTCAGTGAATGAGAGTGAATGTATCTCCTTTTTTTGGGTCACCCTACCTTGGTGGGAGACTGCCAGCATATTACAAACAATTTGTCAGCTAAAAAATTAATTACATCTAGCTCACCTGTGTGTGCCAAGCATGGTGTAGAATGATTGCTGCATTCGGGTGATTCCCAAGGAAGATTGGAATAAGTGAAGCAATCAGATCTTGCCGCAACATGGTGTATGGAAGAGTCACCTATTAAAGGAAAAATGCATAAAGAATTAAAAAATAACAGCAAACAAGAACCCACACAGCAATTCTAAGTTATGCAATAAACAAAGCATCTTACTCTTATTTCATTCATTCCTATAAATACCAAGAAGCCAATTAATATTAATTAAAAAATATTGTTGATGTTATAAATTATCTGTGAAGGGTTATGGGGATTATTGGCCTATGTGGCCAATCCCAGACCAGACTTTCCAAACTGTAAAGAAAACCCTGTGCATAACAGGAATAATAATACAGTGGAACCTTGTTTCTCGGCCGCAATCCATTCCAGAAGGTCGGCCTAAATTCAAAAAGGCCTAAATTCGAAGCAATATTTCCCATAATAATTTATGTAAATACAATTAATTCATTCCAGACACCCAAAAATATTCACAAAAAAAAATACACGTGAACTAAATAAAATAAATAAATGAACATTTAAATCACTATTACACACCTTTATTGAAGACTCTTGTTGGCCTATGGAAGACAGGGAGGAGGAGAAAGGGAGGGCAGATTATTGTGTGTATAGAAAGGGAATCCCCCTCCATAAGGACTTTAGGTAACAAGTCCCTCTCTGGGATTACTTCCCTTCTTTGTCTTTTAATGCCACTAGGACCAGCTTGAGAGCCAATGGACCCCTGTTGCACAAAACAACTGTCCAGAGTGCTCTGTTCCTGGCATCTCTAATATTTCCCTAAAATGGGACAAGGTTTTGTCACTTAACATGTTGCATATATGGTTTGTTTCAGCTTGGTCAGGGTAATATTTCTCCACAAAAGTTTGCACCTCATTCCACTTTGCACAAATGTCCTTAATCACTGAAGTAGGCACATCCTTCCCTCTCTCTTCCTCCTCCTCCTCTGAAACAAGTTCCTCAGCTGTGGTCTGTTGTTGTTCCAGTTGAAGGTGTTGCAGCTCTTCAGTTGTTAGCTCTTCACTGTGGTACTCCACCAGCTCTTCTACATCCTTGCGACTCACATCCAACCCCATAGACTTCCCCAATGCCAAATAGATTCCACAACAGGCAGAGGGTTAACAGGATCAGGGTCAGGGTCAGCCTCAAACCTTCAAAATCCTTCTCAAGGACACAGTCTGGCCACAATGGTCTCCAAGAAGGGTTCAAAGTCCTGGAAGTCACTCCCTGCCAAGCCTTACCTATAAGGCTTATGCAATGGAGGATACTGAAGTGATTCCTCCAGAAATCTCTTAGAATCAATTCAGTGTCCGAGGTTACTTCAAAGCACTTTTGAAACACTGCTTTTGTGTGGAGTTATTTGAAGTTAGAAATGACCTGCTGGTCCATGGGCTGGATGAGAGGAGTGGTGTAAAGAGGCAAGAACTTCATCGTTATAAAATGGAAATCCCTAGACAATAGGTCTACCAAGTTTGGAGGATGAGCAGGAGCACTGTTCATTAAGAGGAGGCCCTCGAGTGGCAATTTATTTTCCAGGAGGTATTTTTTCACACTCGGGCCAAACACTTCATGGACCAAGTCAATGAAAAGTTGCCGCGTGACCCATGCCTTATGATGAGCTTCCCACATCACACACAATTTACTCTTGACAACATTGTTTTTCTTGAACACTCTGGGATTTTCAGAGTAATACAGGAGTACAGGCTTCACTTTGAAATCCCCACTAGCATTAGCACAGAACAAAAGAGTTAGTCTATCCTTCATAGGCTTGTGTCCTGACAGTGCCTTTTCCTCCTCCATGATGAAGGTCCTCTCTGGTATTTTCTTCCAAGGGAGGCCTGTTTCGTCACAATTGAACACTTGTTGGGGTTGGAATTCTTCAGTCTGTACGTACTCCTTGAATTCCTGCACAAATTTTGCTGCCACATGTTTGTCAGAACTTGCAGCCTCACCATGCCTTACAATACTGTGTATACCACTATGCTTCTTAAATCTCTCAAACCAGCCTCTGTTGACCTTAAATTCACTATCATCATCACTAGTACCAGGCATTTTCTTTACAACATCTGCATGCAACTGCCTTGCCTTTTCACAAGTGATTGTCTCTGAAACACTATCTCCCGCTGTTTTTCCCTGATCCACAACAACTACTTCTCCACATCTTCATTTGTTTGTGATCTCTTTTTTGTTAACAGGTTTACCCCTTTCGCCACATCAGCTTCCTTGATTTGTTCTTTCTTTGCCAGGATAGAAGTGATTGTTGATTTGTTTTTACCATACATCCTGGCAAGTTCCAGCACCCGAACACCACTATCATATTTTTCTATTACTTCCTTCTTAAATTCATCGTGCTTTTCACTTTCTTTACCAAAGGAACTTTACTAGGAACTTTCTTGGGGCCCATGGTGACTTATTTCACAGTCGCACTTAATAAAAACCCACAAAAAACAATGGATTTTAAGGAAATGTTTGGATGAATGCACAGAGTGTATGCTCACTCGCCGACAGGCAAAGGAAGACTGACTCGCCAAAGTGCGGAGTCCTGGCGGGCTAACGCATCTAATACGGCCGATATACGAGGCAACGACTGAAATATGGAGTAAAATTTCCGCCGAAAAAAACGGCCCATATACGAATCGGCTGATAAACGCAGCAGGCAAAAAACAAGGTTCCACTGTATATTAAAAACACATGGCAAAGTAAAGGCATGCAATTGCTGAATATAAGTTTGTAAGATTTACCAGCACCTTGTATGCTTATGACAGAAAAAGACCACCAAATTTGCCACAGTGCAAAACATTATACCTTTTCACAGTCTCTCATGTAGATCTAAGTGATTAAGCCTTAAGTCTTAACCCTTTCAGGGTCCGTCCCGTAGATCAACGGCTTTACGTTCAGGGTCCAAACCGTAGATCTACGTCATGAGCTCAGCTCACTCTGATAAACTGTGAGTGGTAAATTTGGGCCCAGATATGAGAGAATACATCTATGTGGTATGTGTGCACCACATAAAACAAATCCTGCAGCACACTGTGTATAATGAGAGAAAAAAAACTGAGACCATGATTTTCGATTAAAACAGCGACTTTGCAGTGCTTTTTCGTATGTTTTTTATAGTTGTATTTGTGATTTCTTGATCTCATTTGATAGAATGGAAGACATATTACAGAAATAGAGATAATTTTGATTGGTGTTAGCACTGGAAATGGCTTGAAATTGAGCTCAAAGTGGCGGAAATGTTAAATTTTTGCCAATGTTCAAGAGTAAACAAACGACCTCACACGTCTAATACACGCCAGCTGGTGGGTCTAATATACATTCACAAATGTGGTGATGATATTTATACAATTATTACAATATTGCATAACAGTAAATCTTCTATTTTTTGGTGTGAATACAAATTCATTATGTGAATAAAAAATCAAAATGGAATTTATTTGTAATGAACAGAGGAAATGTTAGTTTAGTGCCAGGAATACCTACATTGTTTATTCTGGACCCTATTTTGAAATTGGAATATTTTGAACTTTGTGTTAAATTGGCCAAATTAACAATTTCCGATCACTTTATTTTGTAGTTGAAACAGTTGACTTGGCGATTTCTTGTGCTCAATCGATAGAATAGAAGTAATACTAGTGAAATAGCTGAGAATTTGGTCGACTGGAATAATGTAATTGGCCTAAAATGGGAGTCAAAGTCGGCAAAATTGCCGATTCGTAAATATCGCTGACACATTAAAATTCACGAGAGCATAATTTCGTCAATTTTCCATCAAATTTCGTACTTTTTGTTTTATTACATTCACAAAAAGATTCTCTACCATTTCATAAGAAAAAATAACAATTTTTTTTTTTTGAAAATTCTTGGACACTGGGGCACCAATTCAGATTTTGGCCTTGGACCCTGAAAGGGTTAATCAGAACACCCTCAAATATGCTAGGATAGGTAAATTGTTGTCTAGACATGAGAATGGGTCTGTTCAATGAGTGTGCACAGTACATTAACCCTTTCAGGGTCCAAGGCCCAAATCTGGAGTCACGCACCAGTGTCCAAGAATTTTCAAAAAAAAAATTTGTTATTTTTTCTTATGAAATCGTAGAGAATCTTTTTGTGAAGGTAATAAAACAAAAAGTACGAAATTTGGTGGAAAATTGACGAAATTATGCTCTCGCGAATTTTGATGTGTCAGCTATATTTATGAATCGGCAATTTTGCCGACTTTGACTCCCATTTTAGGCCAATTACATTATTCCAGTCGACCAAATTCTCAGCTATTTCACTAGTATTACTTCTATTCTATCGATTGAGCACAAGAAATCGCCAAGTCAACTGTTTCAACTACAAAATAAAGTGACCGGAAATTGGTAATTTGGCCAATTTAACACAAAGTTCAAAATATTCCAATTTCAAAATAGGGTCCAGAATAAACAATGTAGGCATTCCTGGCACTAAACTAACATTTCCTCTGTTCATTAGTTATGTTTTGAGGTTTTACAAATAAATTCCATTTTGATTTTTTATTCACATAATGAATTTTTATTCACACCAAAAAATAGAAGATTTACTGTTATGCAATACTGTAATAATTGTATAAATATCATCACCATATTTGTGAATGCATATTAGACCCACCAGCTGGCGTGTATTAGATGTGTGAGGTCGTTTGTTTACTCTTGAATATCGGCAAAAATTTAACATTTCCGCTACTTTGAGCTCAGTTTCAAGCCATTTCCAGTGCTAAAACCAATCAAAATCATCTCTATTTCTGTAATATGTCTTCCATTCTATCAAATGAGACCAAGAAATCGCAAATACAACTATAAAAAGCATACGAAAAAACACTGCAAAGTTGCTGTTTTAATCGAAAAATAATGATTTCAGTTTTTTTCTCTCATTATACACAGTGTGCTGCAGGATCTGTTTTATGTGGTGCACACATACCACATAGATGTATTCTCTCATATCTAGGCCCAAATGTACCACTCACAGTTTATCAGAGTGAGCTGAGCTCATGGCGTAGATCTACGGTTTGGACACTCACCGCAAAGCCGTAGATCTACGGGACGGA